ATGGAAGATCTTCCTCTCTGTCTCTCCTCTCTGTATATCCGCCTTTCCAATAAAAAATAATAAAAATAAATCTTTAAAAAAAAAAAAAGAAATGTTCCATGTAGAAGAACTGGCCAGTGAAAAAGCACAGAAGTGGAGGAGAGGACAAGACTCATCAGAGGCACCATCATTAGCCAAAACGTCCAGATATCAGCATAGTCTAGGCTGTCAGGGTCACGAACCAAGAGACGCACCCAGGGACATGGGGTTTTGCAGATAAAGAGAAAACCTCAAAAGTTTAGGTGCAAGGTGTTGCCCGCATTTAGGCTGCCAATGGAAGCAGAGAAAGAACTGGTTTAAGAGAACAGCATTGAGTTTGATTTTAGGCATGTAGAGTCGAGTCCAGCAGACCACTAAATAAAGGTGATGTTCAGAAGAAAGCTGGACTAGACACAGAATTTAGATGATAATGGGGGCCAAGGATGGGAATGAAATGAGGGAAGAGTAGGAGTCCCCAGGGACACTGAACGGAGGCGGTTGGAGTAGGAGACAAACAAAAGAATAAGATGGTGTCAGAGCAGAAGCGTGTTTCAAGAAGTAAGTTGAATGTGTCAAAAGTTGCTGAGGATGAACCAAGATAAAGACCCAAAAACTTGAAGGAAATTGTCAGCAAAATCTTCAGGGACTCAAGCAAGAGTTTTAGTGAAAGGTTGAAAACAGAAGCCAAAGAGTAGGATGCTCTGCTGTGTATATGGGTGGGAAGCGATGAGCAGCGTGGATGTTAGGAATATGGGTAGAGAAAGCATAATGGATACAATGAGGGTCTTCGGGGGCGAGGAATGAATGGGAGTCATAACCTCAGATGGAGAAATGATTGGCTCATTATATTTTATACTAAGGAGGAAATGTTGAGGTAAATACAGAACAGCTTAGGGATTGGGTATTTGGAAGTTGACAGATTTCTCTGACGATTTTTGTTCTCAATAAGCAGCACGAGGAGTAGGCATTTGCTGAGGGTGCATGCAAGGAGATGGGAAAGGATGTGTGAGGGGAAAGATAATTTGCAGTAGCAAAGATACTGAAAGGATTCGTTGGAGGCAGAACTGGCAGCATAGGCCAAATGATGACACTTGTCCACGTATTTGTGTGATTGTATGACAACAGTCAGCTATCATCTTTCTCATCTTTTTGTCTCCAGAAAAATGTGTCTTGAGGCAAATTTAACAAACTTATTTTCAACCAACCAATATAATGTTCATGGGGTTTGCCATAAAGATACCTAACTTATCCAAGGCGCTTTGTTCCTTGTCTTCCTAGACATTGGAGAATCCTGGGAAAACTCTGGTAGGAAAGGAAAAGGCAGAAAAGGAAAAATACATAGGGAAAATTTACCTTTCTACATCACAAACACACATGAAATGTTGTATGTTTTTACACTTTAGAAAGTTATTTTCAAGCATGTTAATTCACACTATCCTTCCATTTTTTTCGACATCACAGAGCAGGTGGGACATGTTGAGACCAGACTGTAATTCAGATTTCTCAATGTGTAGCTCTTCACTTTTCAGGATACCATGAGCGCTCCCCCAGTCACAACAGAGTGATGCTGAACTAGCAGCTGTAGGAAAAAGGTGTAGCATCTGGCCCCAGGATTACTCAAGGGTGAGGTCCAGGATCTTTCCTCACAGATAGGGTCGAATCTATTATAAACTCATACACGCACATGTCACATTCAGCAGCAATGACAAAAGCAAGAAAGAAGTGCTCTGCAATTGACTTTCAGACTGAATATCAAAAAGAGAAATGAAACGGTCTCCTGCTGTCTCTGGAGAATATGATTTCCTGACTCAGTGATAGTAACAGAACACTCACAGGTCACAAAGATCACCTGTCCATTTAGACAGCTGGCTATCAGCTGGGCTGAGTCGCTAACCTGTCAGAAATAAGAACACAGACCCTTCAGATCCCCTTATTAGTGGATAACAAAGTTAATCATCACAGATGATTGCAATTTTTTCTGTTTACTTTCATTTGAAAGGCAGATTTGCATAAAGAAGTTGAGCCAGTGGGGCGGGGTAGGGGAGAATGGGGAAGAGAAGCTGTGATTTTCCATCTTCTGGCTCCCATTCCAAATGGCCGCAATGGCTGGAGCTGAGCCATTACAAAGCCAGGAGCTTCTTGCAGGTCTCCCACATCATAGCAGGAGCCCAAGTCTTTGAGCCGTCATTCTCTGCTCCTTTCCCAGATCATAAGCAGAGCTGGATTGGAAGTAGAGCAGTCAGGACATGAACCAGCACCCACACGGTATGTTGGTACGACAGAAGGATTATAGGCCTGATACGCCACTGTGCTGGCTCCAGGATTGCAAATTTTTGCAGGTGATTTGGATTTCTTCAGTAACATGTGAAAATCAAGCCTTCCAAATTATGATTATGTAATCAATTGATTGTCATTGTCTTGTTTTCCATGCTAGTCTTCATCATTGTCACCATTTATCATCATCATCTTCATCATCAATGATGATTGCTCCCAAAATGCAGAGACTACATCAAAAAAGAATCCCTTACAGAAGGAAAAGGGAAATGCCATGTGGATTTGAACATCACAGGTATTTACTGTTTGGTTCCTAGCAACCTTTATGGAATAGATTTGAGAACAAAATTCTGGAACGGATGTAGGTTCTTAAGTCAGGCAAATGTAGTGTCAAATTCTAGTTCAGTAATTTATTGAATGCAGGAACATAACCAAATTGCTTTATTTCTCCAAGCCGTAACGTGCGCCCTCATGAAAGAGAAGCTATTTGCTCTGCAGAGCATGGGGAGGATTAGAAGAGAGACAGTAAGAGTAGGCCAGAACAGGCTTTTGGATTTTGGCTTCCAGCCCACTCTTCCCTATCCACCCTCCCACTTCTACAATTATGCGAAATCCTCCACAACGCATTACTTAAACATTAAAATGCTCCGTGAGAAAAATAGCTTCACAGGTGTCACTATTACTTTTTTTTTTCTCTGAAGATGTGGCAGAACCAGACAGTCTTAACTCAAGGCTTAATTGGTGTTTTTCCACTACTAAATTGGTATTTGTTTTCTCTTCCCTTTATTCAAGTTGGATTTTTAGGCAGCCAAAATGAAATGCTCACCAAAGAGTCACCCTTTGTAACAGTAATGATACAAACACCCAGCCACTGAACTTAACTATGTGAGGTTGGCAAATCTTTTCCAAAGCAAAGCAGCTGCTCTCCTTGTGCTCAGTTTTTTTTTTTAAGGCTTGCTCAAGATGTACACACTCTCGATGTAAACCCAGACAAACACTGTAAAGTATAGTATGCAAATACTATGGAGAAGACTACAATGACCAAAACCAATGAGGTCTTCTACTCATAAAATACACATATTCACGAATGGACATTTTAAAAGATTTATGTTTCATTTGAAAGGTAGATTTATGGAGAGACCCAGTCTTGCCTGCAATAACAATAATCGCCTGATGGTCCTAGCATGAGATCCTTATTTGGTCTTGGGCATTGCCTGAGTCCCCAGGCCCTGGAAGTCTTCAGACTCCATATACCAGTGTCCCTGCCACCCACACCTAAAACAAATTTCTTGGGGACCTTTGATTCAGTTCAGAATGCTCCCTGGGCTGGTCCTGAGGTTGCTGAGCGCTGCTTTCATTGCCTGTCACTGCCTGCCATCGAGACTGCTTCCCATAATGCAGCATTATTAAACCCTTGAAATGCTGCTTCTGCCATCTGCTTCCATGACCAGTTTCAGAAGCTTCCTTCTAATGTATGGTGCTGACTGATGGAGGAAAAACATAAAACTCTAGGTCTGCCCAGGGCAGATCAAAGATGAGAGTAGCGGCCTGAAATATCTCCTTAAATTTGGCAGAGTCCTCTGAATACATTTCTAGTTTTTTCTTAAAGTCACAATGTCAGACATGCAACCTGAATGTCCCCAGCATCTCCATTTGCCACTTGTCTCAGGGGACAGAGAATGCTTGCTTTCGGCAGGTATGAGGCTCCAGTGTGGGCAGCTCTCTGATGGAGGGGGACAAGGGGAGTTGAAGAGTGAGAGTAGTGGGCTAATAAGAGATAAGAAGAATCAGGGGAACAATCTAGTGTCCATTAAGGATGATCCCGTCACTGGTACTCATTAAGCCTAGGGTGTTACATGATCACCCTTTATTTGGGCTTGTTGAATGAGATCTGGTATCCCAGTATCTTCTTGTACCCTAAGATTGGGTCCCTGTGGATCTATAGCCCAACTATCTTCAGGGCTTCTTGCAGGATGTTTCAGACCTGAAGGTCTTCTCCTAGAACCAATACAACCTCCAGGAGCCCGTTCCTATATTTAGGGGCTTCTACCACTACATGGGTCTTTGACCTCTAGAAATATCACTATACCTAAGGCTGCATGTGGACCACGTGAAGCATTTGACCCAAGCCTGAGACTAAGATATCTCATTTGTCTGGCACCCTATATTCAGGGGCTTGAATTACCATAACTACGGCTTTGGAAATATAAGGACATTGACATACCCAGGGCTCCAATCGCTGTCTAAGCCAGAGTAGAGATCTGCATACAAATGTGTTTGGATGTTGGAGCTTAAGAAAAACCAGCATCAAAGTTTATAAAGCTGAACCCTGCAGTGACACCCGTTGGTTAGCAGAAGCCATATCCGTATGCCGAGAGCTGTGAAGCAGGTGCTTTTCAATCTGTTCCATCACAGCCATAGCCTTCCGGAGTAGAGAAGGTGCAGTTGCTGCCTGTGGGGTCATTATGCGTCAGACTGTGGGATTCTGTGGAATCCAGGTTGTGAGCTAACTAATCGACATAACAGTGGGGCTCTACCTCTCAAACATGCCAGATACCAACCAACTGTCCATCTTCCATCATAGCAAGAAGTTTTACCCCTGGCAGCTGGATGTTTTATCCTCGCACAGAGCAGAAAGTTCTGCTCCTGGTAGCCAGGTGCAGTAACCAGGTGATGGAAACTGGCTTTTCTCCTTCCCCTCTCATTCTGATGCTGGAAGGAAAGGGCAGAGAGAAGGAACCAAGAAAATGGTAGAACGAAACCACAGGCAGAAGTCAACACACAGAATCTGGCTATTACAGCTCACCACTGGGAGCGGGCATCTCCTGCAGTGCCCGGTAACTTTGGAACCACAGTGCAACAAGAGGGTGGACATTGTGTATCCAGGCGGGTGGCCAATTATAAGCAGCCATGCCCATGACTGGTCAAAAGTTCCTCTGTCTCATTTCTTTGGAGCACTTTCTGAACCTGGAGAAAGAACAGAAGTACATGGATTTGCATTTTAAAAGTCCACCCACAGCAAAGGGCTTAACTTGTAGGAAAGAAGTGGAGGCCAAGAGAGAAACAGAGTGGGTGTTCACCCAGTCATTGTTCCTACAGTTACAGTTCTGCTGCAGACTCCTCTGTCTGACTCACCACTTACAGTGTGGACCTAGGCACCTTGATCCTCTCTGCAGATTTTTGCTCTTCAACCCACACACACTCATCACACAGAGAGAAGAATTTAAAGTGGAAGCATAGCACATGCACAAGTGAGTACAGGGTTTGTTTAAAAGACAGAGACTGAGGGGTTCTCATGAGGAGGCCATGGAGCTTCCTGGGAGGAGAAAGAGAAAGCCCAAGAGGAAGGCAAGGAGAACCCTAAGGCTGAACAGGAACGGAAGAGGCATCTGCCTCATTCTTAGTCTCTTTTATGGGCTAGGGGGTGGCGCCTTAATCCGTAAACAAATAGGATAGGATTTGAGCACGTGTAGGGTTTTCTGGGCTTTTTATGGCTCTTCCATGTGGAATTTAACTTCTATGTGGTCATAATGGCAACTCCTCCTTCCTGGTTCCAAATGAGACATTGCTGCATCCTGGGAATGTGGGCATAGGAGACTGACAAGTGAAGACTTGCAGAAATTCTGGCTCACCTATACCTAACTCCCTGACCAAAAATCTCATCACTGGAAGACAGGGAGTGGATAAGAGATGACCTGAATGGTACATTTTGACCTTTGTCTTATTGCGGCATAATTCAGGAGCCTTTAACCTGAGATTGGCTGAAGCTTAGTACTTAACTACAGAAGCATCCCTTGGATTACAAGCTGCTTTCATGCAAAGTTCCGTTGTAGATCATGATGTTTGGCAACCTCACTTGGGCTAATTCATCATTCTAGTATAGAACTTGCTTAAGACCAATTTATTCCAGCTCTACGCTTTTGAATTTGCCTTCATGGTTCCCTCCCTTTGTTTTGGTTCCAGCTTTTTTCACGTCCCTCTTTGGAGTAAAGCCTAACACATCTCTTGCATCCTTTTCCACCTACAATTAAAGCACCCTAAGGGTAAGGAATGACAAACCAGCAAAATCAGACACCCATCCATACCACCAGCATTTGTTTAACTTGAGTCAGGGTCAAAAAACAACTGGAGGCAGTCTGAGTAAACTGTACATTTCTTCCTGCTTCTAAATTTCCAAAATTGCCTTTGTTTTTGTTTTTCCTGAATCTATATGTCTGACTCTTCTGTCCCTCTTATGAGCCTAACACACTCCTTTTCTGGGAATATGAATCACAAGAAAATATAAATGATGCAAATTCTTACCTTGAGGAGTGCTGGGAGGATTAACAGTGACAGATGTAGCTCTCAGTTTAAAGCAAAGACTCAGTTAACGTTGGAGAATGACTTGATGTGCTATCACTGGCAATCCAGGCTAGGAAATCCACAAAGATGGTGAGTCTGCACCCCTGGCTGTTCAGCAACAGGAACAGCTCTTTGGTAATTCTTCTGTGACCTAAATAACTGAGAATAGCTAAGTATCTCGTAGATCAAGTCACTTCGCCCCCACTGGTCTGCCATCTCTTCCAAAAATCCCTGCCATTCAAACATTTCTCAAGTTTTGTCGTAAGAAATAATTGTTTGATGCAATTAAAACAGTATTTCTCTGAGCCAATTACTAACACGTTACCAGGTTCCCCCATGGTATTCATTGGGGCACTGGTCCCAGGATTTTCTCCTCACTCCACATATACTAGAATTAGTGAATGACAAAGTATTTGCTCACATCCTACACACCCTCCATATACTTTATTATCTGTACATTACTTTTTAATATAAAATGCAATGTAAGTGTGATGAGCTCTTTTAATGTTACAGGGAAACGATGCAAAGGAAGGGGGCTACCGTGATTCTTCACATAAAGCAGAATTTCCATGCAGACAAATCAGTGTCAAAACAAGTTTATTCAAGACAGAGGCCTTGTGCTGCAGCCATCAGGAGGGGGGAGTTCCAACAGAGGAAGACCTGAAACTCTGGTCAGAGTGGAGTCTTAAACACAACCAGAAGGCTGGAGGGAGAAAGAACAGCAGGTAGCAATCCAGTGGAGGTTGGGAATAAAGCTCATCGAAGGGCCAGAGCCCTGATCTTGTCTAGCTTGCTCAAAGCAAAAGCCATCAGATGGGAGGGATTGGTAACTTCTTTTTATTTTTCTGATAAGATGAAACATTTTAAGGGTCTGTTATCCTACTTTTTTTTTCTTTTCTCACGATAGAATTGCAGACTCAGAAGAATGAGATTTGTATTACACATGCCAACCAGTAACACCTAACTGCAGCTGCTATTCTCATGACAAAACTAGAAACTCAGAGGAATGGGATCAGTATTTTGCCTTTCCAAAGGGAGTTTCTGGGGAGAAGCAAGTATCTGAGACACTTTCAAAGGGACTTTCCTTTCCTCATTCCAACCTGACCCTATCTATCTAATAGTTCAGCTAATGCAGTGCAGTTATACTGTTGCCTAGGGAACAAGAGAAAAGTTGGTCCAAGCTCACTACAGACGTGATTGCATTTTTATAAAAGTTCATTTTTTCATTTGAAAGGCAGACGGAGACACACACATACACACACACAGAAAGAGAGAGAAATTTGCTATCTTTTTTTTTTTTCTTCCCAGATGCCCTCTACAACTGGACAACTGTTCTGGACCAGGCCAACCTAAGAGCTAAGAATTGCATCTATGTCTCCCACATGGGTGTAAGGACCTAAGGATGTGAACTATCACACACTAGCAGGAAGTTGGATTGGAAATAAAGCCACAGGAGCACAAACTGGCTCCATAGTGGGATGCAGGTATCCCAAGCAATAACTTCCTATGCTGTGCCACAGTCGTCATCCCATTTTTCTTAAGTTTTTTTTTAATTATTATTTAAAAGGCTGAGTGACTGAGCAAAAGATAAGTGTGTAAATATTTTATTGGTTACTCAATACCATGTCAATTAATTCCATAATGTTGCAAATTGTCGTTGATGCACAGGTCAGATACCCCTAATCCTCAAGTTTAGATAACAGGTCAAAGAGAGATGCTTCCTCTGGCAGGCAGGTGTGTGGGAACTCCTATAGTGTCAAGTAAACTCTCTCTTGCTGTTGATACGTAAATTCCTCAAACCCTTCACCCTGATGACTACAGGACCCTTAGTCTTTAAAAGTCTGATGCTGTTAATAAACTCGGGCTACTGACCATCAGTCAGTAGTTTGCCTGCATGATTATTGCTGTATACACCAAGTCCATCACTGCTGGACAGCAAACAGTAAGCAGTAAACCAACAGAGACCAAATGACTTACATATCAAGGATGGCAACAGAGCTGAATAGAGTGAAAGCCACAGCCACACTCTGGATGCCTCTAGCAGATGTCAGAGTCACCTTCAGTTCATGCAGGTGGTCTTTTTGATTTCCTTCTGTGAGGAAATTAAAGATGACTTTGTAGAAATCAGAAATAATAGCACAGAAAACAAACCTGAAATTGTACATGCCCACTCTCAATTATGGGTTGATTGAGGGCAGGCATCTGATAAATATGCCATTTTCATCCAATCGAGTGGCCACCATGTTAACAGCCCTGTCCACTGCGCTGTTAAAGAGGTGAAGTCCCATGGGTGTCCTTGGGTAACAGCAGAAGAAAGGGAGGCGTAAAACCTGCAGGAACTCATCTGGCCAAGGTGACACGAGCATCAGGATGTCAGGTCCTGAGCCTTCATCACTGTGTGCTTTGGTCAGGTGATGCTGCTATGGCAACATACTAGGGGCATTAATGAGTATGCAGGGCTGGGTCCCTCTCCTCTGCCCTTACCTCTGCTGTGTTTGTACTCATATGGCCCTTCTTTGGAGGGAAATTATAGAGGATTCCAGACATAGACCCCTAAAGAGGATCATCAACCCTTTTGTTCAAAATCAAGACTCTCTAGACAGACAATAAATATGTACATCTGTATCACTCTTTTGTATTTGAGTAGAGATTGCAAGCAGAGGCAACTGTAAAGGAATGGATTCGTATTCAATACATTATAAAAGTCTTGGAAACACTATTTTAGGCTAGGGGACGCTTTAGACATCTGGCTCTATGCTTCTAAAGAGGTTTGCAACCTAAATGTGGACAACTAAAAAATAGTTTGGGAACAAAGATACAAATATGACACAAAACATCATTTTTTTTAATTGGGTAGAAATGCGTGTTGTGTTGAGGTCCTTTTACAGATTGGCAATGCCTTGCCAAGACCATTTTCCTATTCCTCCTCCTCCAATTCCTGCATGGGAATTTAGCATTTGAGCTTCGAGCTCCCGCCAGTGAATTAGCAGAGAAGAAAAAGATGAATCTGTGAAAGCAGGCGCATGTCGGTGATCTCTGAGACAGAAGTGTTTACATGCGGCACCAGCACACACCATCATCAAAAAGCAGCATGAGGCAGGATTGTTTCATCTCAGTGTCTTAGAAGAAGAACAAGAGAGCTCACAAATGTATGTCATGTGTGTGTCGTGCATGTCTGCCTCCCCTCCCCCAGCAACGGCTACCCTCGCTTTCCAGGTGCCGAGTCTGTCTCAGAGGAGAGAAGGCACCGTTTACATGATCCCCAGGTAACCAGGGAAAGAACCAAACCTCCAAGCCAGGCTCACTGACACCAAATCCCACAACCTTTAGCGCATGATTAGAGGTGTATTTGCAAGTTCTTAGGTGGGACTCCTGCTCTTCCCTACAAAGTTACCTAAGACGTACAGGCTGACTTGGATGACTTCCAGTACTCCTTACCAAGTCTCACTGGCTAATGTGATGTGGTGGCATGTCAGCTTTGTGAGGCTGAGCTTAATTTTTCAGAAAACTCCTGTCTGTTTCTCATTCAGGTGAAGGATTTGGGGTCCAGAGGAGAGCAGTAACCCTTCTAAAGCTTATGCACTGAGGCAGATGTGCAGACTAACGCCACTGTTCCTGGCAACCACCAGAGCCTTAGCTCTCCGGCTGCCCTACTTCTCTTCAGCTTCTCCAATGCCTGAGCTGACCGTGTGCCTAGCCCCCAGGAACCACACAACAAACATGACAGACTTTAGTTCACCTTTGTGTTGCTCACACTGTTGGCTCCAGCTTGTTCTTAACGGGTCTTCACTTAGTCCACATTCTCCGGGAATGAATCTCCAACGTGAAGCAAAGACAGCACCCAGGCAGAATCGACTTATGCAGCTCTCCTGGTGCACAAGGTCACATCCCTGTTGCAAATTCAGTCGTAGGTAGGTAAACGAATGAATGGATCAGTAGATGATGGATTGGCAGTACACAGAGAAGGCTGACAGTACACAGAGATGTATGGATGCCAGACTGGACAGATGATAGATGAACAGACAGATGATGGTGATAAATGGATGGATAGATAACAAACACATATACACACAGATGATAGAGAAATGGATGGAGAATCAGGCTGATTAATAGGGAATTATAGACCAAGATGATTACCCCTAAAATTAATATATTCAAGTGCTAACTCCCAGCACATTGTAATGTGGTTGCATTTGGAGCTGATTAAGTAAAAATGAGGCCAATAGAGTGGGTTCATCCAATCTGACATGTGTTTTTAAAAGAAGAGCATTAGGAGTGCAGAGGGAACCACAGTATCTACAAACCAAGGAGAGAGGCCATGTCAGAAAGCAACACTTCCAACACCTTGATCTCAGGTTTCCAGCCTCCACAATTACAAGAAATAAATTTCTGCTCTTTAAATTACAAACTGTTTGGCATTTTGCTATGGCAGCCTAGTGAACTAATGTGGGCACACAGGCAGATGACTGCAGTCACATGTCGCTAGCTCTCTGTAGGAACAATAGGATATGTGCATGCAGGCGTTGTGCAAGGAGACACACACATATACACATTTATTTTAAAGAAGCAGCTATTGCAGTTAGGATGGGACTGTGAGATGGACAAGGCTGAAATCAGTAAGATAAGCCAGTAGGTAGGGAATTTCAACAGGAGGTGTGGTACAGTAATTTTTTTTAGGGACCCTTCATCTTTCATCTTAAGGCCTTCAAATGATGGGAGAGCCCCACCACCACAGGGGAAGGTGAGCTAAGCCAAGTGATGTAAACATTAATCTAAAAATACCTTTATTTCAAGTCTAGATAGATGTTAGACCACATAAGTAGACACCAAATTCCAGCCAAGTAGACACATATAGTTAACCAGTACTGTGTGTGCGCACGCGTGCAGCCTGATACAGAGATCTCATCTTATTTTTTGAAATCTGAAAAGCTTCTGTGTCCTCACTTTTGTTAATTACCTTAATTGCCTTTATTGTTCATTCCGATACGAGAGCTGCTCCCAGGACCCTGACTGTAAAACAATGGTTTGAGTATACATCAAAGATTTCTGAGTCTCACTCCCATCAATGCTGGTTCTGTAAGCCTGGGGTGAGGCCTAAGATTTTGTATTTTCTGGCAAGTTTTTGGCTTACATCAGTGCTGTCCCTGGCCCACACTTTGAGAAGCAATTCTCTGAAAAGTCCCAAAATCTGGGTAAGAGATTTTTAACATCAGTGTTTGTAAGGTGAAAGGGCTATTAAATAATATTCAACCTAGAATTTGAAATGATGTCAAACACAATTGTGTTCTCCAAAACATATATGTTCAAGAGGATTTATAGCAGACATTTTCATAGCACCTCAAAATGCTCATTAACAATTGAATACAATCCTTAGATTTAAAAAAAATGGGCTTTTGTTACATATAGTTATGTAGCCAACATATAAATTTATCAGATAAGCCAAGTTACTACATTGACAAGATAAGCCAGATGCAATAGCATGCACCGTACAATTCCAGTTAAGAAGGTCAGATTGGCAAGACTAACTGTGGTGGTACAGGCAAGATTGGCTGAGGTGCAGGAGAGGACAAATAAAACTACATGACATGGCCTTTACATCAATCCAAGTCTTGTTACATGGATACTAAAACATGCAAAAATTCCTTGAGCCATACACCCTTAAGCTTTGTAGTATTTTGTGTCAGTTGCACTTAAGTTCTACCTCATAGGACCAAGTTTTCCATAAAAAGTTTATTACAAATCCTAGAGGGGTCATGAAAATGTTTTCATTTCCTCTAAAATCAGAAGAAAAACATGAATAGGATCTAGCCTGGATTACGTCTTCTTTAGGCAAACACAACCATCAAATATAGTTTTTAATACTTTTTATAGGAAAAGGAGCCCATGAATGGCTAAAGGGCTTATGGCCTCTGCAAGTCACGATGCACACACACACACACACACACACACACACACACACACACACACACACACACTGCATAGCCGTCAGTGTAGGCAGCAGTTACACCTCTGTCCTTGCGCTAATCACCCAGGCTATGTGGGTCGTTCACAGCTTTCATTCCCACTGATGCAGCTCCTGAAGTTTAAAGACTCTATACCTATGTCCGGCAGAAAAAGAAGACAGCCAAGTAGTGGGATGTGCTTTCTGAATCTGAATGTAATTTAAACAGAAAAGGGCAAGGCCTAGAAGTAGTCCGATAAAGGGCATTTGGAAGTAGGTCAGCTTCTGGAGGAAGCTTCAAAATCCTTGGAGAGATGGTGGCACTGTGTGTCTGCCTCTTGTTCCCTAACACCAAGCCTTCACTGGTGACAGTGATACCATGGGGATGCGGAAGAAGAGAAAGACTCCTGTACCAGAAGTTTGCTTTCCTTCCAGATCATTCCTCCCATTCTGTAAGAACTCAGCGGGGAAGTGGCAGAGAGTCCATGCAGAGCTCCAAAAGAAGCCCCTGTGTTGGTTTCAGACCTGGTCCATCGCCTGCTGATGTACAGCACAGGCTCCAGAGGCACACAGAAGTCCTCGTGGCCCCTGTGCTCCCGCCCTCAGTGCTGTCATCCAGCTGGCTGGAAGACTGCACGAGTCTGCAATAGGAAGCATCTGATGCTAACGCCATGGGCGGCTGGACAGACGCCTTGGGAACAGACAGCTGGACGCAGGCCCCATGACTGGCTGAAGCAGGACCCAAAGAACAGAGAGTAGACATGGGAGTCAGAGGGCTTATACCACCGCTGCCTGTGGGTTCTCACGTGCTTCACAGGGAACAGCCCTATTCCTACACTGATTCCAACACTAGCAAGCCAGGTGCCAGAGTTGCTTCCACTATGATTAATAGACCTCAGGAAGTTGCTTAGCATCCCCAGCCTTCATTGGTTCCTACATACAAAACTGGTGTTTTAACAGCACCTGACACTGAGACTGTGAGGACTGACAGTTATTACCAGTAATTCCCCTATCACAGTGCCTGGCACCAAGTGTGCAAAAATCCATGCCTTTATTATTTTTAAATTATCCTTTTTATTGTTGCTCGCCCTTTCGAAGCTTTTGTCTCCAAAATGGAACCAAGGTTGATTAGTATTCTTTAAATGAGCCAAGATCTTTCTTTGATTTTCCTTTAATTAACCCTCAGATCGCCATAACACACAGATGTTTTATTAGTGCTGTGGGGTTTGGGCTTCAATTATAAACCCTTTGTCCCCAAGGACTCATACATCCTGTTGGAATAACACTGAGCACGAAAGATAGGTAGATGCTAAAATACAGTGCTTTGGCACAATTGAAAATAGCCTGAGAGAATATGTGTGTATTTTTTAAAACCTAAAGTGCATTGTTATTTGAAAGGTTATTCTTTGTATGGAAAAAAAAATCATTGCCATACCCTAGCAACCAGACTGGTAAGTAATACAGAACAGGCTGAACTGATGTGAAAAATCTGTGAAAATGCCCAGATTGATGAAATATTCTAAAAATATGTTTAACAAAATAACGAACAAAGTAAAATGGGCCTCATTTTCCATACATGCCATTTCATGTTTAATTTTTTGAAGCTAAAATATTCACTTTGAAAATGATTTTTAGCACTGCCATCTGGTAAAAACGAAAGTAAAAATCACTAGATTTGGGACAATAGAAAGATACATTTGTAAAACTAACTGGTAAAACTTGAACATTCTACAGGCAAGCAGATACATTTATGTAGCCCAACATTTAGAGTTTAATTTCTCCATGTTGAGTCTCCAAGTCAATAGATTTTTAAGAAATCTGCATGCTTCATGGCAAGCACTAACTTCTTTTTCCTCACTGCTATTATTTACTTCTCTTTTCAGGATTTCGGAGCAGATGAAGACTGCTACTTTGCAAGTTTTCAAGAAAACAGAATTTACAATTATAAATTCTAACCGTACATGAACAAAACCCTTACCCAACTCCAACAAAAAAGTCAGGGGTCTACAACACCAGCGCTTTAAGGAGGAACTGCCAGCATTCGTCATCACACAGCCGTACAAGGGAGCCTTCTTTAGGTCCGCAGCCAATCAAAGTTTCTTTGTGTTTCGAGAGCAGACTCAGAAGTGGGCTACAAAGCTGAGCTGCTCTGAAAGCCTTTGTGTGTCCAGATATTCCTGCATGAGCTTGACGGACAAAGCAGTGAGTTGCTGTCTATGGGTCTCGTGCTCTATAATTGCATTGTCTGGGAGTCTTTCTGAATCCCATTTTCCTTCATTCAACCCGTTCCACAAACAGTAAATCCACTGGACAGATAGGATGTGTGCCAAGCACCGTGTCATCTCTGAGATGTCAGGATAAAGGATACACAGTTCCCATCCATGAAAGAGCTCAAAGATTGAGGTTACAAATTTCAACACGTAAGCAAACGCATTTTTTAGAATAACTATGAAATCTCCCAAATTATTAATTATATTGATAACTTGTATTTTTAAAATATTAAAATAGATATTAAGTACATTTAAATAGAAACATATAATTTAAATATAAATATATAATTTATACATTAAATTTTGGATATTTATAAATTAAACAGAAATTTAAACATAAAGAATAAATATGAATATATGAAGATGAATAAATATAAATATAGAAATATGAATTATAATATACAGGTGTAAGATTGGCTGATTCTCCCTGGGAGGGTCAAAGAAAGCTGAATAAAAGACTAAAAACTTGGCTAAGATTTAAAATGATAAACTTCAAACATGGTCTAGGCTGGGAGGATATTTTGAAACCCAAGAAATACTTTTAGGAAGGTTCTGGAAGTGTAAACTGGTTAATGGCAGGATTGAGTGATACAAAGGTGGTTTTTCAGGGGTTTGAAGATGGAAAGCCAGGTTGCCGAAGAAGATGAGAGTTTTTATGAGACAAGTGAAGGAGGATGAGTCTCACCTCACACATAAAGGACAGGAACGTAAGGGGTTTGAGCTAAGGAATAATATATTCAGCTTATCTTGGCAGAAGCAAAAGTAAGAAGCTACAAGAGTAACCCAACTGACGGGGGATGACGACATGAATAAAGGCATTCGAGTGGAGATGTTGAAGGCAGCACACTGGAATTGACAAGGTTGATAAGTCGGTTACATGAATGGCAGGAAGAATGGGAAAAAGTTGAAATGACTTCTAATGTTTCCCTGGCCATCTGAGCATATGGTGGTACCATTGATGCTGATGGGCTTAGAGAGGAGAGTTTTAACTATTCAGAGTCTGGAATCCTTGCGGGAAATGCTGTGTCATGTGTGACATTTTATCTTCAT